GTAAGGATTAAAGGAATTAGGGCAGCCTGGGTGGCTCAGCGGTTTAGCGCCGCCTTCAGCCCAGGGCCTGATCCTGGAGACCTGGGATCGAGTCCCACGTCAGGCTCCCTGCATGGAGCCTGCTTCTCCCTCTGCTTGTGTCTCTGCTGTGCTCTCATTAATAAAATTAAAAAAAAAAGGATTAAAGGAGTTAATGTATCTGAAGAACTCAGTACAGAGTCTGGGACTTGGTGTTTGAGAAATGTTCACTATTCCTATTACTCCAAGTGGTAGTGTTAATGCCTACTTAACCCATATTATTAAGTAAAAGATTTAAGATGATTCGCTAAACTGCAAATGATATAAGGGGTTAATATCCAAAATTTATAAAAATCTCATACAACTACAAAAATAATAATCCAATTTAAAAATGGCAGATGGGAGCACCTGGGTGGCTCAGTTGGTTAAGCATCTGCCTTCAGCTCAGGTCATTATCCTTGGTCCCTGGATTGAGCACTGCATTGGGCTCCCTGTTCAGTAGGGGGTCTACTTCTTCCTCTCCTTCTGCCCCTCTCCCTACTCGTGCTCTCACTTGCTCACTCTCTCAAATAGATATTAAATATATATATATATATATATATATATATATATATATATATATATATAAAATGAATGGCAGAGGACCTGAATAGAAGTTTTTCCAAAGACACACACACATGACCAACAGCCATATGAAAAGCTGCTCATTTATCACTAATCATCAGGGAAATGCACATCAAAACCATCATGCGGTATACCACCTCTCATCAGTTGCAATGCCTACTATCAAAAAGATAGTAACAAGTTTGGTGAAGATTTGGAGAAAAGGGAACTGTTGTGCATTGTTGGTGGGAATGCAAACTGGTGCAGCTACTGTGGAAAACGGTATGGAGGTTCCTCAAAAAATTAAAAATAGAAATACCATATGACCCAGTAATTCCATTGCTAGGTATTTAAATCAAGGAAAACAAAACCACTAACTCAAAAAGATATATGCATCTCTATGTTTATTGTTTATTTACAATAGCCAAGATATAGAAACAACTTAAGTGTCCATCAGTAGAAAAATGAAGCTGTGGTGTGTATGGGCACATATCTTTAGTATATATATATATACTTATACGTAAAAATATGGAATATTACTCAGCCATCCATGTTGTTGGACCAAGGGACTTTATTACACTAAGTGAAATAAGTTAGAGAAAGACAAAAGTCACAGGGATGAAAAAGTACAACATAGAGCATATAGCATTATATAATGTACAGAATTGCTGAACCATTATGTTGTGTACCTAAAACCAGTGTAACATTGTATGTCAACTAAAAATTGAAATTTTTTGAAAAATCTCTGGCTGAAATGCAAAATAAAAAATAAAACATCCCGGAGCACATCTGTGGCTCTATCAGTTGAGCGTCCAACTATTGACTTCAGTTCAGGTCGTGATTTTGGGGTGGTGGGATCAAGCCCCGAAGTCTAGCTCCACACTCAGTGGGGAGTCTGCTTCTCTCCCCCCTCTAAAATAAATAGATAAATCTTTAGAAAAATAAAAATAAAAATAAAATAGGGGCACCTGGGCAGCTCAGTGAGCTTAGTGTCTGCCTTCGGCTCAGGTTGTGATCCTGGAGTCCTGGAATCCAAGCCCTGATTCGGGCTCAGTGGGGCGTTTGCTTCTCCTTCTCCCTCTGCCTGTCCCCCCCCAACTTGTGTTCACTCTCTCTAAATAAATAAGTAAAATCATAAAAAAAATAAAGGAGCACCTGGGTGGCTCAGTGTTTGAGCCTCTGCCTTTGGCTCAGGTCATGATCCTGGAGTCCTGGGATTGAGTCCCACATCGGGCTCCCTGCAGAAGTCTGCTTCTCCCTCTGCCTGTGTCTCTGCCTCTCTCAGTGTCTCTCTCATGTATAAATAAATAAAACATTTAAAAATAAAATGAACCATTCCCATGTTGGTTTTTTTAAAAAGGACTCATTTGTTTGGTACATAGGATGTAAAAGATAAGCAAGCAGTTGTTTTACTATACCTAAATTTCTTTTTTTTTTTTAAGATTATTTATTTATTTATTCATGATAGTCACACAGAGAGAGACAGAGAGGCAGAGACACAGGCAGAGGGAGAAGCAGGCTCCATGCAGGGAGCCTGACGTGGGATTCGACCCCGGGTCTCCAGGATCGCGCCCCGGGCCAAAGGCAGGCGCCAAACCGCTGCGCCACCCAGGGATCCCTATACCTAAATTTCTTACCACAAGCAACTTGAGCCATTGATCATTCTTTTACCACCATCTGGCAGCTGAAAAGCATATCAAATAGTATGTTTCTACTAGGTCTTAGGTTGAATCACTGTAGCCTGATGCTTGCTCAAAAGTGTCCAGGGTCCTGCTCTTGCTCAAGCCCAGACTCTCAAGGAATTGATAAACTCTTTATTGGATGTGTGTTACTTCACCTAGATTTCAAAGAAAGTATGTAAATTGCATTCACTGGTCTTCTACCTTAAATCATTTCCACTATAAATTTCTCTAACTCGGGGCACCTGGGTGGCTCAGTTGGTAAAGCGTCCCACTCTTGGTTTCAGCTCAGGTCATGATCTCAGGGTCCTGAGATAGAGCCCTGTGTCAGGCTCATCACTCAGTATGGAGTCTGCTTGTCCTTCTCCCTCTACTCCAACCCCTGCATGCTCCCTCTCTCATAAATAAGATCTTTTTCAAAAAATAGCAAAATAATAAATTCCTCTAACTCCTAACACCTCTGCTTTGGATATCTAATAAGCACCCCAATATAAGCCATTCAAAGCTTAACTCAACTCTCCCCACACCCTGTTCATATTGCAGTCTTTCCCATGGCTACTGAGATTGGTAGTTCTATCTGACCAGTATTTCACACCAAAAAAAACTTGGGAGTCATTCTTAACTACATCTGAACTCTCGGGAAATCTACCTTCAGATGAATTTCCAAGTTCTGACTTCTTACTACCATGCATTCTGGCTGCAGATTGTATATATGGTCTTTATTTTAAATGCTCTTCCAGCCTCTGCCTTTGCTTTTAGTCAGTTCTTCGGTCATTAGAATGACCCTTCAAAAACAATTCAGAACATAACTTTTCTCTGCTTTCATCGCTCCAATGGCTTCCCATGTCCTCAAAGATAAAATTACTTTTACATGTTTTGTTAAATGCGGCAACACCAATACCTGGAATCATGCTAGGACAATGTAAGAAACTAACGTCTATGGAAATACGTGATCTTGACTCAAGGGTTTTCATACTTGCTGTTCTCTGCCAGGAATGCTCATCTCTCTGATACCTGTGTGACTTCCCACTCAGCTCCCTCCAGGCTTTGTCACCTATCGCTTCTCGATCTTATTAACTACTCTACTTAAATTGCATCACAAATTCTCTATCCCTCCCTCCATTTTATTTCCCTTCACAGAACTCAACCTCACCCTCTCTGTATTACTCATTTAAATATTGCCTGTAATCTCCCATTCATACACTTTTAAGTTCCATGAGATCAAGAATATTTTGTATATTGCTGAATCCCTAGGATCCAGGGCAGTGCCTTGCACTTTGCAGATGCTCTACGATTCTGCATTCCATTAATATTTTATTAAAATTGAAAGCTAACAGTTAACTTCAGGACATCCTAAGTACAACAAATTTCTTTGCTAGAAATACTTCCTCTAACATCTCCAGTATAATTACCTAAAAGACTTCCATCTTAAGTCACATAACTACCTTAAAAACTGACAATAAACTGATTAAAGATAACGGATTTTTAAAAACTGCCTTAAAAATATCTCTACACTGCCTAATCACATCCCAGAAGTCTTTTGTATTTAATAAATCTGAAGTAATGATCAGAAATAATCATCCGATGTCAGAAGAGTTCAGATAATTTTGTGCCCCCACTTACCTACTTACAATACAAATAGAAAAGAGAAAGAAATGTTATCAGTAGAGGCAGAAAATGTGTATATATTTATTGTTCCATTTCAAAACCATTATGCCGAGTGAAAGCCAAACACAGTAGAGTACATTCTGTATGATTCTATTTATTTAAATTTTAGAAAATGCAAACCGATCTACATTAAGAAATTATAGCTCAGTGGGTGCCTGGGCTGGGCTGTCGACAAGGACATTCTACAGACAAGAATGAGGAAGCTTATGGGCGGCAACGGAGGTGTTCTGTGTCTTAATTGCTGTTGATTTCATGGTGATGTGCATCTGTCAAAACTCACCTAATTGTACAATTAAAATTAGGGGCGCCTGGCTGGCTCAGTGGATTAAACGTCTGCCTTTGACTCAGGTCATGATCCTGGGTTCCTGGCAGGGAGTCTGCTTCTCCCTCTCCCTGCCTGCTCCCCCCCCTGCTTGTGCTCTCAAATATAAATGAATGAAGGAAGGAAGGAATGAATGAATGAATGAATGGGAAGATAAAATACTTAATATGATGAAAATGAAAATATTATTTTTGTGAATACACATACTGGAGAGCTCTTTATTCCCCAAGAATAATCAGAAAGACGAAAGAACGTACACGGAGATTTCTTTCAATGACAAGAAAAGATCCTATCTAGAGTGGCTTTAAAGGGATATGTAGATATATGGGTGTCTAGGTGGGTTAGTTGGTTAAGCCTCGGACTCTTATTTCAGCTCAAGGTCATGATCTCAGGGTCCTAGGATCTCAAGCCCCATGCCAGGCATCATGCTCAGCAGGGAGTCAATTTGTATCCCTCTCTCTTTGCCCCTCCTGCCACTCGTTTGCCCGCTCTAAAATAAAATCTTTATATAAAAAAAGTTTTATTTATTTATTCATGATACACACACAGAGAGGCAGAGACACAGGCAGAGGGAGAAGTAGGCTCCCTGCAGGGAGCCCAACGTAGGACTCATCCCAGATCCCGGGATCACGCCCTGAGCTGAAGTCAGACGCTCAACTGCTGGGCCATCCAGGTGTCCCTAAAACAAAATCTTTAAAAGGGGGGGGGGGGGGGGGATAAGAAGATACAAAGATTAAGACTACTTTCAAACCATGCTCATCAAAACAAGGACTATACAAATCCTATCAAGTAACAGCAGCATGCCATTTACAAACAAAAAAACAGGCACAAGTTCAACAGGTTCAATTTCCCCAAAACCACAAAATCAGTTTTCACTTGAAAGAAGAATCAAACCCAGGCAATTCTTTTAACTCACTTTTCCATCTTTGACTAAAATGTAAATGATAATATCTTGTATTGATATTATCTAAGTATTGATAATATCTAAATATTGGAATAAGTGCAGGGAAAAAAGCATTCACATCCAATTGATGGGAGTTTATGTTGGAAAACATTTTGCAATACCAAAACTTTAAAATAGACACAACTCACAAGGTCAGCTGACAGTCCCTCCCAGGAGACTACAGTATAGAAATCTTCCCAACTAGTTTTTTTTTTTTTAAAGATTTTATTTATTTATCCATGAGACACAGGCAGAGGGAGAAGCAGGCTCCATGCAGGGAGCCTGATGTGGGACTCAATCCTGGGTCTCCAGGATCACACCCTGGGCGGAAGGCAGAAACCAAACTGCTGAACCCTCCAGGGATCCTATTATGAGGTTTTTAAAAGTTATTCAAGTATTAAGATAATCAATTAGGCTCTAATTTATGAAATTCAACAAGATACAACCTAGGAATCTTCTGACCTACTCCTCCTCTGCAATGCTTGATGATGTTTATACTAAACTATCTACACTGGCCCAGCTATCAAGAGTAACTACTCATGTTTTACGATTATTTCCTTGCTTCATACTCTCCAAAAAATTTTTTTGTTTTTCTAAAAGGTAAAGGCCCAAAATGTAATAATCTTATGCAAGACCTATTAGGAATAAATGAATTCCTGAAATGGTTTTAATAGGAACATATAAATCCTTGGCAGTTTCTTAATAAATTCATAAGATTTGTAAACACATAGGTTTTCCTCTAGCAGAGGTATATAAATATTGAAAAGGAAAATAGGTCCTTTGGGGGACAATGCCCTGGGACCTTGACAAAATAGATAAGAAATCAAATACTGGGTAACTCCTTCAAAATAGTGTTACTATTTAAAAATGTTACTCATATCATAAATATGATTGAGGTCTCAAAAAAAAAAAAAAAGGTAGTCCTACCAAAAACTAAATTGAGCCTCTTTTTAATAAAATTCAATAAACCAGAAATGGTTACAACTGAATATGTAAAAATATAACATCAATAATCCATTACAATGAAAACATTTAGACAAACTACAGTTCCTTTTGTAGGTTCGTAAAATAAAGGTAAACATTATCACAGTGTGGTGTAAAGCAAAGTTGCTTCAACCCTACTAGTATTTTATGGACTTAACTCTCCAAAATATATTCCTGTAACAAGTACTCACCTATAATGGTCTTTCAACAAATAGACTATTTTGCAGACTATTTTGTGCCATATGTCATGCTAGGGATTTGGCTATAGCAGAAACGCTGAAAACAACTTTACAGTGGTATTACAATATACATTTATTTCCTCTCTCACATTGTTTGGTATGGTGAAAATAATACTGACCTAGAAAAAAATGTGGGTTGCAATTCCTGCTGTAGCCACTTACAACTCCTTTTTAATTTTCAGAGTAAGAGAACCATAATACCATGCAAATCTGATTAAGAAAACAAATTGGACTAATGTAAATATTTTAAATTTTTTAATTAAAAATACAGCATTTCTTTACATTTTTAAGGCTCTGAGGCTCATAAGCATTAGAAATTACAAAATACTCTAGCCTAAAAAGAACTCTGTAGACCCTTATTTTGTAAAGCTTTTGGGATGCCTGGTTGGCTCTGTCAGTTAAGTGTCCAACTCTTGGTTTCAGCTCAGGTCGTGATCAGAGTCATGAGATCAAGCCCCATAGAGCCTATTTCAGACTCTCTCTTCTGCCTCCTACCCCTACCCTCCTCAAATAAATAAGTAAATCTTAAAAATAATAATTAATGACAATACACCTGTAGTGCTGGAATTATAAAATCCTCCACCAGGTCACAAATTCTTTAAGAATTAAAAAAAGAAAAATATGTATGGAATTTTCTAACAGATTTTATACTTTTAAGAAATAGTCTTTACATTCTGTACAAGAGTATCTTTTTCATTTTCAAAACATACTGTTAGCTCTCCCAAAAAATTGAAAACATTCAGGATGCCTGGCTAGCTCAGTTAGTGGAGCATGAAACCCTCGATCACACGACTGTGAGTTCAAGCTCCACACTGGGTATAGAGATTACTTAAAAAATATGTTTTTCAAACTGAGAATCTGCTGTAACTAGGAATTTGTGTTTGCCTTTTAAAGAATAATGTGAAGGTATTAAATACTTAAAAAAAATTAAGTATATAGGAAGTCCCCACTATTTTACAGACTTCAACCACATTTACCCATTTTAAATTTTATCTGAATATCTATTTCTGTTACTCATATATTATTGAATCAAGAATTCACATAGCAAACAATAAAAAATGTTTTAAATAATTATGGCAAATTCTATCCTTTTAAAAGGACATGTATATTTAAAACATTTTATTAAGGTGTGAAAGGGAAAAAAGTTTCACAGGCAAAAATTTACTGACATGATTATCAATGCTTTTAATCAGAGTAAAACAAATCTTAAAATATGCTTTAAGAGTTACTGTTCCTCTTAATTTCTTTTCATCTGAAATTCAGAAGTAATGTGTGTTCACTTTAGGGAAGATTTAGATAGGAAAAAATTTATTAGAAAAATAAACACCTTTAAGTTTTACAGTATTTTCCACTTCCAAAATTCTTTTATATAGAGCAGATGTGCCTTATGGTTTAAACATAATCTTATTTACAAAATCCCATTTAGTCCTAAGGATACATAAACACAAATGGTGAAATGTTGGTAACTATTAAATAGTTCAATGTAAAAAATTTTTTCAAACCACCATTTGTTGCAGATACCTAATATGACAATATGTACTGAAAAGTATAAATGATTTTCACTGAAATTTACTGTACTGGCTTATTGTCAAAATTCAACACTATCAGATTAAAATGTACGTTAAAATTTGTGTAACCTAGGTTTATTTTTCCAAAACTTTTATCAACTATATTAGGAACTGGCAAATTTTCTTCCTTAAAAGGTCAGAGAGTAAATATTTTAAGTTTGCAGGCCTTAAGATCTTACTACACAACCATGCCACTACAGGGAGAAAGCAGTCCCAGACAACGCATACATGAATGGATACTCCTGTGGGCTGCAGTTTGCCTGCTGTTGAACTACACCATGGATGCTGAATAAGAGACTGATAAATTCAGGTGCCATATTACAAAAAAAGCCATATACAGAGGTTAGGAGGAACCGTATAAATGGTAAACATCACTATATGAACTATTTTTAGTTAGAATTTTCACACTTATTTCCCAATTTTAATTGCATGTGTATACATGTATATATACAAGTTATAAAACTATTTCATCTCAATTCCATATACTTTTTGGTGTGTTAATATAATATCAGACCAAAGTCAGATAAGCAGCAAAGTACCACAAGTGACGGAGCACTCAGAAGCTAGTTAATCAATAACCATGAAGTTTGGTTTTGACATCTAAATACTTCCAAACAATGAAAACACTAATTTATTTGCTGTGCCCTTAAAGAAAATATGAGATGTATATTTCAGAAGTCGTTTAAAATTTAATTGAATTGTTACAATTTTGAAGCTAAATGTGATTTGCTTTGTTTTATTAGAAAAAATACTCAGGCAAGGTCTACAATCATCGGTCAATTAAGAATGACTTACAAGAACATGAGGCAATAAAATAAAAAATACAGGTACAAACTATATATCTGAAACACTTCTATTTGGCAATTTTATAACAAATCAAAATTTTAAAAGAACAAAGGAGATCGCAGATTACTTCGTAGATACAGAATAAAGCAATTGATGAAGTGCTTAAGCAAAAGAAAACAAAAAAAAAGTAAAAACACACTGCTTTTCTTTTCTTTTTAAAAATAAAATCACATTTGCTACAGATCAAATGGATAATACCCTTATTAAACAACCATTCCAGAATGTCTTATAGTAGCAGTGCTTTTATTTGCACTTCATTTAATTTTATATGACTCATTTCATGTATATAGCTCTTTACCCCACTGTTAACGAATAAAGTCTCCCATAATTTTTATTATTTTAAAAATTTTTTAAAGTAAATGAGAAATGATTTATGTATCATGGAACCTTTCCCATTTTGGAACCAAAGGCTTAATTCTATATTTTTGTCTATTCTTTTCTTTAAAAAATTTAGTGTAAAAACTGCTGGTTTTTATATCACTGTAGTAAAGTGAAAACTCCTCAATCAGGAGTATTTTCTGCAGTTTGACTGCATATAACCACATATACTTTACAATATGTCCTTCCAACAGTAAGGAAATAATTGATTTCACGGTCACTGTCAGAAATGAGTGCCATAATTCTATTATGGGTATAGGTCCTCCCTCAAAGACTTTCTGGAAGGATGTTCAATGTGTTTTGTTCTTATAGATATTAACAGTAGTACATAGTCCCTTAAGTCTGCAAAGACATTTATTGTTAAAGAAGGTGCTTTATTAACAATTCCTCTGGCAGCACTAGTGAATTACAATATCCTTCAATATTATTTCTACCCATAATATATACATTTAACTTTCATGCCTCTAGAAAAACATCTACAGTACATTTCATAATATAAAAATATATTACAAATCTGCTGAATTATTTACAAGCAATGTTCTATTATCTCTATGCAACATTTGTTTAATACAATACTAACAAGTTACACATATTTCCATTTCTGTAAGTTAAAAAAAATCCATATGGCTTCTTGCTTACCAAGCAAGAAAGTGATTTATTTTCCTTTTCAAAACCAACTTTGGTGCATAAAGGATTCAGTTTGAAGATATTTAAAAAAAAAAAAAAGTACAATTTTTCTTACGTTAAGAAAAAACAACTCAGAAACCAAATGCTTTCCTCAGGAAAAAAAAAAATTAGAGGCTTATATAGGTTAAAATGAAAATATGAGGATTATTCAAATAATTTGAAATAGAGGTTTTTCAAAAACCGTTAACAGATTAGTTATATAGGTAAATATTAACATACTGTACTCCATGAGAAAACCCTAGTCCTGAAAAGGGAGCCACCAGACATACTGCAACACTCTTTAACAGAAATTTTCAGCCCTAATTCGATAGACGAATTTTTAGTTGATTGCAAATGTCGTTCACTGTTTGCTTAAATACAAATTGAACACTTTTCTTATCAGAGTTCTGCAAAAGAACACAAATGGCAACCAATCACATCTATTTATCATAATTGAAAGGTAAATTATCTCTTGATAATTTTCATTGTCTAAATATTTCCTAATATGACTTCAAATCAATAGACACTGTCAAGACAAATATCCTTACAGTGCTTTAGGTATTTTTAAGGGCACATGTTGTAATTGTTTTCTTTCCAATATAAACTACTATAATCACTAAAGGGGGGAAAAAAGCAGCTTAAAGCAGCAAGCATGCAAAGCCTTTAAGAAGCTGTTTCACTAAGTTGCCAGAAGAGTGTTTGCTCAGTCTCCCACAGTACCATTCCATGAAAATGTGGATATACAGTAATATATTAATATATTCCACAGAAGAGCCTACTTCATTCACAGAATGTTTACACTAAGCATAAATATTATTCTAAATACTGGATTTAAGAAAAAAAAAGGAAGGGGGTTGACTCTAATGTGCAACTTTTACTAAACCCATTGTCAGTGACTAAGACTGCAGGTGTCCCCGCTTGTTTGCTTTTTATGTATTTATTTATTTTTTACCTCTTCAACCTCTTCTGCGGCATTGTTCTAGAAAAAGAGAAAAAGGAATATTCTTTTATTCAAATGAATAAAAAACACATTATTTCAAGAGACATTAAAGCATTAATAAGATATAGGCAATGTAATAATCATTGATCACTAAAATTTATTTCCAAGGCATTCCTACTTTAATGGATACAAATTCAGTTACATAATGCAGGTTTTTAATAAATTCTTTTTATGTAGCCTAATGTGATTCTAAAAGAGAATCTCATGCCTAACACATGCATTACAACTAACTAGGACTTTAAAACTGATGTTTAAATCTTGAATAAATACATTCTAAATTTTAGTTTCATTTAATATATTTTTTGGAAGCTCTGTCATGCTTTCATCATTTTGATATGTATATAAGCCACAAAATGTTTCTCTAAAACAAGTTAGAATAATTGCTTTTATACTTAATTTCACAAGTTTTCCAAATCAAAACCCAGGCCTCGCTATCATGTTACACCACAGCAAATGTACCAGTTCTATTAATCTGTACCATTTAGGAAAGACTCAATTCTAATTTCCAGAGCAGTAGAAGCATCAAAGTTTAGACTCAAAATTACAGGTTAAGACCAAGGTGGGAGTGGGGGAGGTGAAATACAGTTAAAGAAAATTAATTCCACAGATGCATTTAATATGTCTTAAGAACAAACATGTTCATTACCCAAGACTGAAATCAGTAAGAACTGTAGACGTACACTATTGAAAACATGCAATGCAATTGCTCTTTTGGACAGTACTTCTGCACCTCAATGGTTTTTTTTTAAGTCACTTTTGCTATAAATTTGCTTCCTAAATACACAAGATTTACAAAAATAAGCTGGTGTGTGAAAAAGGAAGACTCTTAGGGGGAAACAGAACACAGGGCAGAAACAACAGAAGTTAGTCTGAATCTTATAATTAGGATTCATGCCCCTTTGTCAACTCTCTGCCTAAGGGATGTTTACAACCAGTTCTAATAGCAGGGTGACTTTCCCAAAATACCACTCTTTTAGAATGCTAATTTTAATTACTCCCTTCAAAGGGTAAGCAGAAATAAACCCTAAATTAAGTAACAGTAAATAAAGAATATTCATTTATTTTTCTTATAAAGAAAAAGGTAAACTGTGACTTTCTCATATTTTTGGTGGATTTCCCTAAATCTTCTCCTTTAAGGTAATTTCACTGTTTACTATGCTACTTAATTTCTTGATAACGTAGCTTATTCCACCACAAAAAAAACAAGTTTTTATGGTAATTATTAGCACTTTCACCAAAAGATATTTAAAATAAATTTGGGGGGAGGAGGGTCAACTCAAGAGTCTCGGTGTTTCCACGAGGCAAGTCCCATTATGTTTGAATTTCATTCTCAGAAGGTATCTTCAATTATAAGAAATCCTATTATACCGAATAACATTCCAAAAAGTTGAATCATAGAATGAACAGAACCTTCAAAGTGTTTAACTGCTTCAGAATTTGGCATAGGACACACTCTCTTGATGATAGCTAAAATTCACATTTGGTATTATTAATGATTATATGTTATCTTATTCAACCTATTCCTACGCAAAATACATATCAAATTAAAATTGATTTTAAAAACATAGAAAGTTTGCTGATGAAGAGTGCCTTTTAAGCATTTTCACCACTTTTTTAATCACCCTAATATATGTCATTTGGATGAGGCAGTACTGTCACATACTATCTGTGTAACCTTGGGCAAGCTATTTCAACTCTTGCTTCAGTTTTCCAATCTGTAAAAACAGAGATAGTAACACCTACTCCACATGCTGCTGTGAGGATGTAAAGCACCTAGCAAAGTGACTCAGCATATAGTCAGAAATGTTGGTATCTTCTCTTTCCCCCCCATACCTTCATAAGCACAGCACACTAAAACAAAGGTCAGATCAGAAAATTATTAGCATTGTGAACACTGAGCTACCTCTTAAACACAATATTTAAACTACTATTCTAAAAATGTTTGGGTAGATTATAAGTTCAAAAATTCAACCATTTTTGGGGGGCATTTTAGGGCATATGTGATATATTCCTAGACCCACAAAAGTCTGATATTATAAACATAAGGCACTTATTTTCCAAATACTATATACATTACAATTTAAGCTACATAAGATAAATCTGGAATTAAATTGGCATATAAACTTTACCAAAACATTATCTTTCTGGATCCTAAGAAACCTTTATGATGGAATCTCCACATACAAAGCTCCAGAAAGCAAGCTATGCTTGGTACTGAAATTCAATACTTAAAAAGAAGTCCTAACCTTATATCCAAAATTTAGGGAGATTTAAGATTACAATCATCAAATCAAGAATTAAATTACCTGTATATGTTTGGATCCAAAAGCAAGGCAGTATCTTTGGGTAGCTTTGATAAATGAACTACTTTAGTTTTTAATTGATGTCGTTCACTTTCATTCACCCACACGTCAGGCAGACTATGAGTTTAAAAAAAAAGTCATAAATGAAATAACATCTATCTTAAACTTATTCACATACTTCAAATTACACAGACTTTTCTGCTGGTGTGACTGAGCCACCTAGGTTAACAAGCTTTTCAGAAGCAAAGGAACAGCAATGGGATGCAGAGTCCCAGCCAAAAATGGCACTGAAATTTCAGGCATGAATTTGGGAATTAATTAGGAATTATTTTGGTGGCAAAGCCACTTAGAAACACACATTATACAAACACTCCCTGTCTTTTAGTTCATGGAGTAAAATTCATACTCGAGCCTGACTTGGAAATTTGACAATGAATTTATTTTTATTTTTTTATTGAAGTGTAATTGATTTCCAATGTTATATTTGTTTCAGGTGTACTACATAGTAATTCAACAATTCTAGACATTACTCTGTCACTCTATCATATTATTATAGTACGACTGACTATATTCCTTATGCTGACACCAAGTTTTTTTTCTTTTTTTTTTTGACACCAAGTTTTTTAATGAAGGAATAAGTAAACACCCCACTAGATAAAGCCCCACTTAAAAAAAAAATGCACGTGTCACCAACTCCTGAATTCAAAGAAATCTAATCCTACTGGGAATTTCAAATAAAAGCATTTTGATATCTGGACTGATCAATTTCCAAAACACTAAGAGTATACATATATTTCAACATCTTAAAGGAACTATGTTTAAAACCTCAATATATAAAAAGAGCTCTTACAGTATGAAACAGGTGAATGCTCACTGAAGAAAAAGGGATAGGAGAGACAAAGGACGCAAACCAACAGTTTACAGAGAGTGTAAACTCTCTCTGTGTCTCTCATGAATAAATAAAATCTTTTTTAAAAATTAAAATTAAAAAAACTAACATTCTGCAGTTTGTGTATTGATTTTAACAGCTATTAATAGTAGAGAAAAATGGCAACTTTAATGTTTCAGCAAAAAAGGAGCTCATTAAATTTTACACAGCCATTTCAAAATACTTCATAGCATTATAAATATATATGTATTTGCAGCAGCATTTCCACAAAACCTGGATGCGGAGGGGAAAGTGATGGAAAATATGTTCTATGTTAATGGCAATTTGATAGTCACAGGATTAAAAGATAGATTTCTTTACCAATATGCTAAGCATATATTGTAAACTCTCAATCTATTTAACAACTCTTAATTCATGGGGCACCTGTGACACCCAACAAGGAACCTGCTTAAGATTCTCTCTCTTCCCATCTCTTAAAAAAAAAAAAAAAAAGACTCTTACATTAACATCTCACAATGAGAAATAATATTACAGAAAAATATTTAATAACAAAGACAAATGTTAAGCACATACTATTAATTTATGAAAATTCAAGTATACCCAATGAGATTCCATCCACTTAAGTTTATTCTGTTCTTGGCATTTTTAAATTCTGTCTGAAATTTCTATGATCTTTATTACCTTTACTAACAAGAAGGAACATTTTAATTAAAAGATAAAAGGAAAATTAAACATGAAATGTTTAATTAAGGAGCATCTGGGTCAGAAAAACATAATGGTGCTAGAAAACCAGCCAACTCAAAAAAAAAAAAAAAAAAAAAAGAAAGAAAGAAAAAGAAAAAGAAAACCAGCCAACTGATTTTTTAATTTATTTATTCATGAGAGACACAGAGACAGGCAGAGACACAGGCAGAGGAAGAAGCAAGCTCCCCAAGGGGAGGTCCAATCCCAGGACCCCGGGATCATGACCTGAGCGAAAGGCAGATGCTCAACCACTGACTGAGCCACCCAGTGCCCCGCCAACTGATTTTTCTATAAAATATCATTGTGGCTAGAAAATGTTTAGAAATTTTTTAAATGATTCAAACAAAGGCACAACTAAGGTTGCTTGCGTATTACCTAAGGGTCTTTTAAAGTCCTAAAAATAATCACATCCTAAAAAAAATTAAAAATTGCTGTAACAAGTTTTATTAAAAATAAGCAAGTTTTAAAGCTTATACCTTGAGCCAGGTACTATACAAGCTTTCAGAGATTATCCTTTTAATCCTGACAAGTCAAAATGTTTTGCAGCCTAATTTTTGTAATTCTTTTCTAACATTCAAATCCAATTACTTAAGTAATTTTTGAGTATAAAATTTTTAGTAGGAATCCCTGGGTGGCGCAGCGGTTTGGCGCCTGCCTTTGGCCCAGGGCGCGATCCTGGAGACCCGGGATCGAATCCCACATCGGGCTCCCGGTGCATGGAGCCTGCTTCTCCCTCTGCCTGTGTCTCTGCCTCCCTCTCTCTCTCTCTCTCTCTGTGACTATCATAAATAAATAAAAATTTAAAAAAAAAATTAAAATTTTTAGTAAAAATAAGAGTCTATTAATTATACATATCATTCCAAATACTTACATGTCTTCAGGCATCCAATGAAGCAAAAGTTTTATCTTTCCAGAATCTTCTTTTCTCTTAGCTATTACCTAGTGATGAAATAAGAGATCATAAAAATGAATCACAGAACATTATTTTAATATATCAATAAAAAGCACTTTTGATCCTAATCCAGAATTTTTAAATGTTCATATCCCAGACATTACCACAGTATTTTGTTCTGACCAGCTTTGTAGCAGCTTTATCTTTGAGCATGTATTTTCACAAAAAAAAAAAGAAAGAAAGAAAAGAAAAGAAAAGAAAAACCACAACAGAAAAAAGAAGTTGAAGAAGTTTTGCAAAGCCAAATACTAATACGATACTAACTTTATTAAGGGCCTGAAAATGTTACTTATTTTACTACCAAAGTCTGAAAATTCACTAAATTGCCAACAAAAAATCCATATTGGTTGGAATATTTTTAAAGAATAAAACAGTAAGGAAAAGAAGTAACAGCCGAGATCTCTATTTTATGACTAAGATATTTATGTTTGCTTGGATGTTTTTGTTTGCTGGTTGGTTTCTGTTATTTTAAATGAAACATTAGCCAATGAGTGTTTAGGTTCAGTTATAAGGAGTCTACAGATCTAAGTTAAAAGGTGGATCAACCTGAATAAAAAGACCAACCTAAAATGTAAAAAAGGCAATATGCTTGTCATTCGTTACCAGATTCTGAAAACTAAGGAAATGCTTATATAACTGACCAAAATTGCATTTTGTATCTCTTACAACTTCCATATTAACAAAATTTGCACTTTAGTGTTCTCATAACCTAAATCTCAGTATTTTTACCTAGTTTAAGCTGCAAACAGCCACCTCAAAATATGTTAGAACTAAGTAAAAACAGCACTTTATATAAAAATAAAATATTTTCTATTCTCATTACATAAAAACCAGTAGTTCTTTAATTCTAGACTTGGCAAAATAAAATACATTCTATTCTCTTTATGTAAAAAAACCAATAGTTCTCTAATTCTAGACTTGGCAATGTGATTAATTTAAAAGCCCAAAGACAGATATGAAGGTGCTGAAACAAAATACCACTCCAAAAAAAGTAAGACATAAAAACAATGCAAACCAACCAAGCAGAGCTAACCAACTGACTGGTAACTAGGATTCTGCTGACCTCTTCTGGAGAAGGCTCGAAAGAAAATGTTTCAATTAAAGACAAATTAGGCCAACTGCATAGTATGTACATCACACATATATTTTTCTGCAAACTGTTTCGTTACCAGTATGGTTATTGACTGTAACTGCTTACTTGATTTCTAGGAAACCTAAATTTGCAGTTTGTATTGGATAGTCTGATTACTAAAAGAACTGATTCTCTTTAACACATACCACACCTCCATCCAAACCTAGTCATGGAACTTGGGAGGTCTACCTAACTCCTTTTTTTTCTATTGTGTCCAATGAAGTAAGTACCTTTTCTCATATTTGATGTCTCTTCCTTCCACTTTCCTCAGGAAAAAGCACTACTCAGATTACACTCTACCTCTGTGGCTCTTTCTCAGTCAAGGTACTCCTGCCCCTCTGATGTCACTTGGGGGTGCAAATCACTAATGACACTAAGGAGTCATTAGTTTCTTAGTGTACGGCAAACAAAGTATCATGTTCTTAAAACTTGTCAGATGTTTTCTACAGCTAAAAACTTATCTTATTTTCATCTTTATACATGATTTTAAGAGTGAATTAAAAAAAATTTTCCAGACTCCTAATATCACCACTATTTTTAGTTCCTTCATTTTTTGATCAGATCTATTCCTCCCATGGTGAACCTAAGCACTTCATCACAAGGAGCTGCTCTAATGAAAGCATGTGAACACTGGTGCTTCATTTTTTAAACTACAACCATATTTATCATCATCACCACTATTCCCTAAGATGTAGAGATACCTGCTCATTACTAAGCCATTACTTCATCAGGTTTTTTGCCCTGTAAATTCAGTGATTAGTCTCCAAACCTCACTCCTTATACTTCTCTATTTATGCTTATTTCCTAGGTATAAATCCAATCTGATTCCTTTAAATACCTTTAAGTATGCTGATAATATCTCTGTATCTATAGCCATACCTCTCCTCTAGGCTCAAACTCTTCCATCCAAGTAAATGAGGCAATACATTGTGTATTGAATATGTCAAAAATTACAGCTCTTGACACTCAACTCTCCCCCAATCTAATCTCCCCAAATCCTCTATTAAATGGTAACTCCATTCTTTTGCCCAGTTGCCCAGACCAAAAACACCAGAGTCATCCTTTACTTTCATTATCAAACCAGACATGTGATCCATCCATAATTCTGGTCAGTACTACTTTCAAAAGATATCCAGAATATAACACTTCTTAGCATCTCCACTGTAACTATTATAGCCTCTTCTCACCTCAGATACCAAAAAGACTGATCCTCTTTTCCCCATCCTGACCTACATTCTGTTCTCAACACAGAAACCTAAGTGAGCATATTAAAATCCACAAGAGAAAATAGATCAGTGAATTCTCTAGGACAGGGGATGCGGGCAGAGATGAACTACAAAATTACACTAGAAAACTTCTGAGTGATGGGAATATTATATATCTTATCTGTGGTGGCGGTGGTGGTTTCATAGGTGAATACAACTGTTAAAACTCATAAAATTGTATACTTTAAATGGATGCAGTTTATATTTATTATCTCAATAAAAATTATTATGAAAAGAAAATCACATTAGACCATGGCTACTCAAACTTCTTCAATGGCTTCCCATCAGACAAAGAATAAAAACCAAAGCCTTAAGTTCAACAAAGTTCTCCCTCATTACCTTTCTGAATTAACTCCTACTCTCTCTGCCTTCTTGCATACTTGGTATATTTTCAAACATATGTGGCATATTCCCACTTGGTCATTTTATATTTGATTTTCCCTCTAGCTATGATGTTCATCCCTCTAATATCTGAATGGCTCATAACCTCACTTCTTGTAAGTTTTTACAATTCTACTATTTCATCTTGTTTATCATGTCTCTTCCACTAGCCACAGTTTGTGGTTTTAATGGTTTTGTTCACTGTTGCATCATGCTCAGTATTTAAGCGAATGAACGAATGAGTACTAATGCCACACTCTGGGTCTAGTGACCACATCTCACTTATTGATCTTTGAAAAAAAGAACAATTATAGACCTACCAAATCATAAACCTATGTTATCAAATGTCAAAGAAGGACTTCAACCATCACTGCTGAACAAGACCCTAATCTTGCTGAATCCAAAAAGAATTCCCAGTACAGTCATTTTAACTTTGTCTTCACAAACTTTAATTTTCCTTTCAACTCTTTCATTCTTATTTAGATAACTATATTTCCAATGTTTTTTTTCTTAAATCCAATGTTCTTTAAAAGCAAATAAATTATGGTGCACCTTTCCTCAAACCCAAAGTTGCATCATGTGCTCCAATCTCAGAAAAGGTTTCCTTGCTTTCTGTCTAATCTTCTACCTTTCTTGCTTTCAATTCTGGCAATCACAAACAAAATTGGGAATTTTTCACCGGAAATGTACATAAAAGAAAAAGTAAAAATGCAATGCAATAAATAAAACCTCAATGTTATAGGAGATAGAAAAAATAGATATTCAAACCAGTAGAGAAACTGGTATCAATATTGATCTTTTGTATTTAATTCTCATGCATTCTGATGGACATAAAAAATAAAACCTAAATTTAGTATATTTTATATTTATATTTATATATATAGTATATATTTATATTTATATTTATAAACCTAAATTTAGTATATTTATATTTATATTTAGTATATTTATATTTATATTTATAGTATATTTTATATCTCTTTCTCTAGGGATTCAAATCACCAAGGTGTGGTCTAAAATTTACCTCTATTCATTTACCTATACCAAAATATACCAATTTAAGGATGACTGGATAATAAAATGGCAAGGAGCATGGGAACAAAGAATAACTCTGTTACCTCCTAACCAAAAATGAAATATTTATTGCTTCTTAAAATTTGATACTATAGTCACTCATCCAACAAATACACTGTCTATTATGTATCAGGCACAATTACAGAAATTTGGGATACTTCAGTAGAATAAACAAATAAAAACTCCCTCCTTCACAAATCTTTAATTTAATGGCCATTATCCTATTTAATCCTGTTTAATACCAACGTTAGATGTGTTTTGGGAGTGAGGGACGAGCATGTAAGCACTTAGTGGCAGGGAGTTAAAAAGAATTTAATATTCTCATTCTATTAAAGAGAAAACCAGAAAAGATACCTAGTTTAAGGTTACAGCTTGATCCTCAAATGCCTACAAGCCCAAACATCACCCCGAAATTCCTAAATAGCTCAAAATAAAAGCTGAAATATTCAATCATCAAAATGTTGAACTGTGAGAAATATAGTTGACTCTTGAACAATGTAGAGATTAGGGCTGCCAATCACCTACACTGTCACAAATCCACATTTAACTCCCCAAAAACTTTTCAATAGCCTACTGATGATCAGAAGCCTTACTGATAACATAAACAATTAACACTTATTTTATACTTTATATGTATTGTAAACCATATTCTTACAATAAAATAAACTAGAAGAAAATATTAAGAAAATTTTAAGGAAGAAAAATATATTTACAGTGATTTATCGAACAAATTAAGTGGACCTGTGCAGTTCAAGTTCATATTGAGTTAACTGTATTTGTTTTATAACCAACAATACATGTAATTTTAAAATACTGATAAAGCAGAACTTGTGATCTTGTTAAAATATATTTTCATAGACTTTGAACAGTTTAGAAATAGGATTGTGAAAGTCAAAATACACGTTCTTGTAAACCTACACAAGTCATTTGAAAAAAACCAATAACAAATACTTACAGTACTATGAAAAACAACACTGTGTCCCTTCCCTAAACTTTCTATATGAGCTGAGAGGTTAAAGCATATGGCTCGATGTCTTATCGCATCCAGTGTTTGTGCATCGAAGAAATCATGTGGTCGTGCTAAAAGTCAATATAAAAGAGGTAAAGAATATTTAGAAAAATGTAACAATCTGCCAAGTAGCCAGTCTATTTTCTACAAAAATACATAATAAGAAGGATCTTGAAACAATTAACATAAGTTTCTATCTGGTGTTTAAACAAAAAATTTTAGTTTGCTTTTAGAACATGGGGTTTAGCTGGCAAGGATACGCAAAAGCAGACTTCCAGCTAATGAGTGAATGAGGAGCCTAACTGTGCCTGTTGGTGTGTACGGTTCTAATCTTCAACCTCATGATTCCACACTGCAACTACTATCTTTTCCATATAATTTCCTATTTTACTCCAGCATCTCTCCTGAGCACGAGTCCTGTATTTTCAACAATCTGATGAGTATCTCCCCTATTGCTACGAGGAGATTTAATTCACCACACCCAAACATATAAACTATATGCCATGAATATTCTATATTAACATGGAATCAAAAATTTTCCAGATTTGGGGCATCTGACTGGCTCAACTGGAGGAGCATGTGACTCTTGATCTCAGGACAGTGATTTCAAGACCCATGTTGAGTATTTACTTAAATAAATTTTTAAAAAATTATTTTTCCAAATTTGACAAACCTGTAATATTATTTTAGAGTTTTAACAAGTATTTTCTTAATTATAAATAACTCTTCTAGGGCGCCTAGGTGGTGTCCAACTTGGTTTCAGCTCAGGTCCTGATCTCAGAGCCCTGAGACCTATTTCTGCATGAGCTCCACACTTAGCAGGGAGTCTGCTTGGGATTTGCTCTCCTCCTCTGCCCCTTCCCCTTCTGCTCTCTCTTTCAAATAAAATCTTTAAAGAAAAAAAAATAACTCTAACAACAATCTAAGAAAATTATAAATACACTTTTCCCTTTTTTTTTTTTTTAAAGATTTTATCTATTTATTCATGAGAGACACAGAGAGAGAAAGAGGCAGAGACACAGGCAGAGAGGGAGAAGCAGGCTCCATGCAGGGGGCCTGATGTGGGACTCAGTCCCAGGTCTCCAGAATCATGCCCTGGGCCAAAGGTGGCGCGCTAAACCTCTGAGTCACCCAGGGATCCCCTAAATACACTTTTCAGTGCCAATGAGTCTTTACTCCCAACTCCCCCAGTTATTAGCTGTGTTGACTTTAGGCAAACTCCTTAATCTACTTAGCCTGTTTCCTTATTTGTGAAATGGAAATACAATGGCTATTAAGTATAACAAATGTATATAAAAATGCCTTTAAGTCACAAAGCAGTCTGTATTATTAAGCTTACATTATTTTGAAATAAACTTACAAACCTGGAGTAAGTGATCTTTTAGTGTAATCACAACAAAACTATACACTGAAGATTTAATTTGATAAGAACATTTTTTAAAATTTCTATTTTCATCCCACTAGTATTATTATAAATTGTGCTGTTTTTTATTCCTAATTAGAATGTTACTCAAGGAAAATGAATTTCTTATTTTACAATTGTGGAGCTTACTAATACATGAAATTTTTCAGTATCATCTATAATTAAGAATTAAATTTTATTGACAATAAATCAAATGGCTTGATTTCCTGGTACAGCATATCCTGAATTACATGTATGCCGATTCACCACACAATTCATATCTTAATACTATGTGAAATGAATTTTCCTCTACTAATCATGGAGTCCTCAGAACATCTACACAAATCCACCAGAGCTTTTGTGGAGAAATGTTTTCACCAGTTGGCACAGACAATAAAACAACCTAAATAGCTATTTTTTTCATTGGACTTTTCTTCAAAGGAAAATAAATAAAACAACATCAAGTAATAAACTAACAGAACCCACAGGACTAGGAATGCAAAGGGAAATCAGAAAAAAATTTTTTGATGTTTACAGGAGAAAAAAGTAAAAAGGAAAAACAAATCCCATTCCCATTAGATTTGTGGCTATGGGGGAGGGGGGTTACTCTACTGTGTCCATGCTCTCCAAATATGCTTTCTCCTCAGCAGGATAAGCACTTAGAGAAAAGAGAAACTAGAATAATAATCTCTAAAGTAGGTCTGTGTCATGATCCATTAGGGTAAGGAAAGAAAATACTATCACTATTTTCATTTTTCATCAATGTTTTTCAATATATCTTTCTTGGTTAACAGTTTTATAATGTGCACCAGCACTGTGTGTATTATATAAGCACACATGTTGAGAATGGGTGCCCAAGCGTTTTTTTATTTAACTGATGAGCTACATAATCAAAAATCTTTGGAGACCACAAAAATTGAGACTCTACTTTCCTGTGGCTCAAAATTATACATATTATCTGATATCTTTTTGCCCTTTTAGTATGGTATTATGGGTATATCCCCAAGAATGGTATTATGGCCTTGTAAAATAATATCTTTATTCTTAGGAGATGCATTCTTAGAGTATATTGGAATCAGGACCAAAAGAGTATATACGTATGGAGATAAAGTAAATGTAGCATATTCTTTAAATGAAGGGCATACAAGTATTTATTATACTATTCTTTCCACTTTATTTTCAAAAATATCAAAATAGAAAAGCTTTAAAATAAATTTTAAAAATTCTAACAAAAAATGACTTAAGCTGCAGTTCTGCCATTTATTAATGTACTTTTCACCTAGTTAAGTGAAAACAACCTCTCTGAATTAAATGAGGAAGGTACTAGAGCAAAGAGATCATTTAGTGCACTGCTTTAAACATGTCTATTTTTAAGGAAAGAATGAACTACAATGGCAGCAGCTCTGCCATTCAAATCACGGCACTTAACAGTAGCTGCTCACAGTGAAAGAGCTTAGATTTTTTTAAAGTTCATATACTCAGGATTATCCTCATCCTCTTCCCTTCAAAGAGGAAAGAAAAAGATTTTTTTTTTCACCCACTACACAACCTCCCTCCCCACCACTCTCCCTACATACCCCATTTTACTATATACTGGAAAAAACATTCTCAAAAGAAGCCTTGACTTAATCAGACACCAGTCCCTCCATTTCTAAGCAAGGCCTGGATATTTAACTGAACCATTCTCTTTAAGAGAACAAGCACACTGTATAGACACTACACCAAGCAAATAATGTAAAAAAAAGTCAGAAGTTTAAATGATTACTATATATAAACTGAGAAGAAAATAATGAGGCTATTAAGTGGAATGGGTAGGAAAGTTATTCTCAGTTTTGAATACCAAAATATATATTTAGCAATTTTCTGTGTGTGATTGCAAGCTACCCAAGATCATCAGTCAAGTAAAAAAAAAAAACTGATGTCATTTCTGTTTTTATAAATGGAGTCAAAAGGAAAATGGATCCATAATCTAAATGCAATAGCCAACTTTGAAAAATGCATGTTTATTTCAACAATAAGAAGCCTAAGAGTTTAGAAAAGTTTGTCACCTATGATTTGTTCCTTTGTCTGTTGTAGCTTTGTGAAAACAAAAATTTTAACATTTTAGAGACAAGTTTTCCAATCTGGATTAGTGTTTGGAGTCTCTTCTGCACTCTAATCAAATCCCAAGGGAAAGGGTATAGTGATCTCCTTTTTTCTTTCTAGTTCAACCCGTGTATTGGACTCCGTTTCAATGACAGCTACAGTCAATCATATTTCTTCACTTGGGATATATTTAATTAGCCAGCTGACACCAAGACCAGGGCCAGTGCTAGGCTCTGGAGTTTCTAAGTCAAGTCCTGCTCCCCACATTTATAAACCTTATCGTCCGTGTTCTATCCTAAATATTGAGGATATACTTCAAAATCTGGTAATTTGGCATATATAACATGTATTTCAATAGAATTAAGGACTGAGACACTGTAAACAGTTTTACTATTCACATATACTACCACTTTGGTTACTTTTACTTCATTATTACCTTTAACATGTTCAAATTTTCTAAAATATCAACATTGCCACATTTTAAATCTTATTTTAGAACAGAATCAAAGGAGCCCTCAAAATGTTATTTCTATACAGATTTCATATTCTAGGGCCACATATACTTACCCTCCCTTAACTACTAATTAGGATAAAATATACATTAATGAACTCTTACACTGACACCCAAGAGATCCTATCTGTTTATTACTGTTAACAAAAATACACAGAGTTAAAGAACAGTAAAATCTGAATTTGCATGAAAACCCAAGATATAAACAAAAGCTATCTAATACATACAGATTTTTAGTGAAACACTTACGTAATGAACGTCGTCTTTTGTTCTTTAATTTTCTCCTTTTGTTCATCCCAGCTTTAGAAGGAGATTCTTCTTTGGCCTTTGGCTGGCTAGAAACTTTTGAGGAGTTCTGCTGACTGAAGTGTGTGGGTACATGGCGAGCTAGCCCTCCCTGAGAAGCAAAGCTGGCATTGCAGCCACCAACAACACACTAAATAAAAATAAAAAGGATGTCAGGGATGCCATGTAGGGCACAATAATATGAATGAGTGAATATTTTATATTTTTGGAAGTAAATCAGTAACACTATGGAACTATCCCAGATAGAAATTGTGAGACTACTACACCCCTTCTTGTTATAAATTGCCCAAAATATTACACATTAGGCAGTGGCAGAGATGAAAAATAAAACTCTATAGTTTCACAACTCTCCAGTTTACTGCTCTTCCCACTATATGCAAGGGAAAAATAGTGAGATCTTCTTCCCAGAAAACTTGGGTTTTGAATTTAACACCTTCTTAAGAAAAACAGTAACTTGTTTTTAAATCAAAGAATCAGATATCATCCTAGGGTGCCTGTGTGGCTCAGTTGGTTGAGTGTCATGACTGGCTCAGGTCATGATCTCATAGGTAGTGGCTCATGATCTTATGTCAGCTCAGATCATGATCTAATGGGTAGTGGGATCAAACCCCATGTCCGCTCAGCAAGGAATCTGCTTGGGATTCCCTCTCCCTCAGCTTCTGCCCTTCCTGCCAAACACGTGCTCTTTCTCTCTAAAATAAATAAAGCTTAAAGAAAAATTAAATATCCTTAACAATTACTTAGGACTCCTAGATTTTTTAAATTATTTTTATTGTAACAATATATACTGCTTCAAGACTATCAGTAGCCTCCCTACTTTCTATGCTGTTAGAACAAATAGAGAAGATATACAGTGATACTGACTTTTAATTATTAGATCCAGTTGCTTAGAGAAGACTTATGTTCAGGGTTGATCTTACACAACTCTATAAATTCCACTAAGTACTGCTTCTTTAGCCTTCTGGACTTGCCAGATTGAGAAAATGAAAGGTTAACTACCCAAGTGACCTGGAAGATCTGCTACTCCAACAGTGAACGCAGAATGTTTGGATATTACTAAAATTATAATACAAAAATTAGCTATAGTACAAGTGTGTGACTTTTTTAAAAAATTTATTCATGATAGACACGGAGACTGAGAGAGGCAGAGACACAGGTAGAGGGAGAAGGAGGCTCCATGCAGGGAGCCTGATATGGTCCTCAATCCTGGGTCTCCAGGATCACGCTGAAGGTGGTGCTAAACCGCTGAGCCACTGGGGTTGCCCAGGTGTGTGACTTCTAACAAATCAATGTTACTAATTGAAACAAACACCATTTTCAAAATGATCCCCAAACAGCAAAATCTACAGCTGAATTTCCAGTGGCTTCTCTAGTAGTAACTTATCCAATATACTTAGTTTCTGACTTGACAACCAAACTCCAAGCATAGAAATCTGTCATGTTGAATACCAAATAAATCATCACCTTAGTCCTAGGTGGTTCAACTTAGAGTTTATCTAGATAATACCACAAAAAAATTTAAATTTTCAGGCTCTTTCTTTTAATCCAGGGACCTTTATCATTTTAAACTTCTAAAAACACAATACAAGTCTGTTAGTAGAGATCGCAACTTGGTTTACAAAGTTCCTCTAAATATATGCAAATTTTTAAAAACTAATCTTCTGGGACACCTGGGTGGCTCAGCGGTTAAGTGTCTGCCTTTGTCTGCCTTTGGCTCAGGGTGTGATCCTGGGGTACCAGGATCGAGTCCCACAACGAGCTCCCTGCAGTAAGTCTGCTTCTCCTCCCTCTCTGCCTGTGTCTCTGCCTCTCTCTGTATCTCTCATGAATAAATAAAAATCTTAAAAAAACAAACTAATCCTCCAAACTAATTAATCTTCCTTTAAGGATATCCTGACACTTTCACTGCTTATTTAGATACTTATCCCAATTCATCCTTTCCCTATATATACTGAATAACATACTTTTATGAATATATACACACATACATGCATGCATGTATATATATCCAGAAGCACCTTACAAATCATAGCTATTTCTAAATATACCTGAAAACTAAACTACTTACAGATTCTAATAAAAGTGATGCTGGCTGAAACATTTTACAGCAATCTCCTTATACAGTGCCATTCATAATCTATTTGTTTTGATACAAAAGAGACTTTTTTATGGGCTCTAATGGTACTCAGCATTACTAATAAAAATCTTTGCCCATTTTAAGGTGTACATTAAGAGGCAGAGGAATGATCCAAGGTTTTAGTTCAAATATTTATATATTCAAAGTACTATGTAAGATGCTAAAAGCATAAGGATGAATGCTTATACTTAAGTATAATTTACACTTAATTATACTTAATTTCCCACCCTTAAAGAGCTTACATGTAGTCAGGAGACATATAAAATGACAACTTCAAAGTTGGCAGTAAGGGACAAAATGCTATGGGAACCCTGAAAAGGAGCAATCAGCCATATCCAGTGCTTTAAAATTAATATTTAATTATTAAAATGACCTTATCAATAGTGTGGTCCTCAGAGTGCCTGCATCAAATATTCAGCTATATATTATGACAATGACAGGTTTAGCATCTAATGGTTACTGAATTCTCAGAATTTAAAAATTTACTAGGTAGATTTTGAGTGCCAAGAAAAAAATAATGCTTTTTAGAAGTTTCCATCTCTTGGGGTGCCTGGGTGGTTCAAATGGTTGAGCATCTGTCTTTGGCTCAAGTCGCAGTCCCAGGGTCTTGGGGTTGAGCCTGGGGTGGGGGTAGAGGGGTGGTCCTTGCTCAGCAGGGGGTCTGCTTCTCCCTCTACCCCACATAACCCCACTCATGCTTTCTCTTTCTCAAATAAATTAAATCTTGAAAGAAATAATGAAAGTTTTATGTCCTATGGATTGCCAATAGAATACTATCCACTACAAAATCCATTATTAACAATTAAAGACTACTGTAACCAAGAAACAAACTTTAATTTTATTTAATTTTTATTAATTGAGGTGAAATTCATATAACATGCCATTTTATTTTATTTTATTTTTTTATGATAGTCAGAGAGAGAGAGAGAGAGAGAGAGAGAGAGGCAGAGACACAGGCAGAGGGAGAAGCAGGCTCCATGCACCGGGAGCCCGATGTGGGATTCGATCCCGGGTCTCCAGGATCGCGCCCTGGGCCAAAGGCAGGCGCCAAACCGCTTCGCCACCCAGGAATCCCATCATGCCATTTTAAAGTATACAATTCAGTGGTCTTTAGTGCATTCACAATGTTGTATAATCATTAGCTAGCTCCATATCCTTGCCAACATTTGTTATTTTCAGTTTATTTTATTAAAATCATCCTAGTATGAAGTAGTACCTCATTGTGGCTTTTATTAGTATTTCCTTAACTGCCATCTACATTTTTTTAAAAAAGGTAATGTCTTTTACTATAATACTATACTACTATAGTATAGTCATGTCTAATGTCTATAATGTCTAATACTATAATACTATAAAACTAGCCCTTCCATTTTAATTTTCAGTTAATTATCTGATACTTAATTTCACTACTAAAAAACTTTTAGTATCTAAAATAGCTTGGTAGGTGGAATCTACCTCTCCAATTGCTAATTTTGTGAAATCTAAATAAAGATCAAAGGTTTAGCATCTGAACTGAGAGTGCTTAAGTAGAATCACCCTAATGGATTAGTTTTACACTGTCCAATACATTTTAGGCATCAGACACATATAGTTACTGAGCACCTAAAATGTGACTATTCCAAACTGAAAAGACTTCTAAGTATAAAATACATACTGGGGGCGCCTAGGTGACTAAGTAGGTTAAGTGTTTGCTTTCGGCTCAAGTCATGATCCTGGGGTCCTGGGACTGAGCCTCAGGTCCATCAGGGTCCCTGCTCAGCTGAATTGGCTTCTCCTTCTCCTTCTTCCTCTGCCCCTCCCCCTCACTTGTGCGCTCTCTCTCAAAATAAAATATTTAAGAAAAGTAAATAAAATACATACTGAATTTTGAAGATTCAGTACCCAAAAAAGCAAAAAATTTCATTAATTTTGTATACCGCTAAGATGTTGAAATAATAATATACGTCAAAGATGTTTAAATTATTTTCATCTGTTTCAATTATTTTAATGAAGCACTGGAGAATTTAAAATGATCTATTTGGTTCATGTATATTTCTATTACACAGTACTGCCATGGAATAAAGCCATATGGTATTTATTTTCCTTACTTTTCAATTTTAGAAGATATTACTCCTATATTTCCTAATATCTACTTTAAAAACATACATTGTCTTTTGCAGCCCTTGTGTCAAGGACTTTAAGGAATACAATAAACTATTTGTCTTTGGGACACCTGGGTGTCTCAGTGGTTGAGCATCTGCTTTTGGCTAGGGTCATGATCCTGGGATCCAGGGATAAAGTCCCACACTGGGCTCCCTGCAAGGAGCCTGCTTCTCCCTCTGCCTGTGTCTCTGCCTCTCTCTGTGTGTCTCTCATGAATAAATAAAATATTTAAAAAAAAAAAAAAAAGATGTCTTTGCCTCGGAATTCCCGTTTTGTTTTTTTTAAGATTTTATTTATTTATTCATGAGACACAGAGACACAGGCAGAGGGAGAAGCAGGCTCCATGTAGGGAGCCTGATGTGGGACTCAATCCCAGGACTCCAGGATCACACCCTGGGCCAAAGGTGGCGCTAAACCACTGAGCCACCCAGGGATCTCCAGGAATTCCCAGTTTAATATAGGTTATTCAAACAAATTTGTTGAAAAACTCTGTATTTCAAATTTTAAAAAAGCTACTTGACTACAATTAAGGTAGAGATGACTTTAACAGTTCGGATCCAAGCCCTCGGGTTTAAATTCAGAAGGACTTTATGATAGAACTCCACCTAGGATTACCCTTAATTATAAGAATCCTAGTAGGCTAGCAGATTCATTTTGTCCTAGAACCCTTCAAGACTTCAACAAATAGGCCCTGACATCATCTAAAACTGAGTAAATTTCACAAGTGTATTTTAATGAGCAATGCTTCAATGTTCTGAACATAAATAATGAGAATTCTAATAGAAAACAGTTTTATCTTGGATTTTGATCATTTATCCACCAAGAATCATAAACAAATCTAAAAAAGAAAG